CGCAAACCCCTTACTGAAAGCCAGCTATCTACTTTCTTAAAAAAAGGAAGTAAAAAGGTTCACATACCGATTTATCCAGTGCCTGCGAACGCCTCAGTATGGTCGGGAGTGGATGTCTTAAGTTGCAACTGGTCATTTCTCCGTTGCACCTCACAAAATGCTACCACATGACCAAGCCTCTCAAATAAATTCTGATGAGGAAGCTCTTCGCTGCCTTTTCGTAGCGGTGTTTTCCCACCAAAGTGAGAGGACAAAAAGCCGATATCCGGGTCGGTGAACCAGTGGTAGTTCACCTAGAAACCCTGATTCCAAACGAAGTAGAAGGAAGCGTACAAACCACACACCCACGCCTTGCTTACCGTGGCAGTGGCCACCGGCTCGATTGGGCATCGAGGTGTACTGGGCATCTTGGACGTTTGACTTCACCCAAAGGGCGTATGATCCGATTAACTGGACACCGGCCCCCAATGGATTGCGGTTTCCATACACCACCCAACTGCCTTGCGGGTCAGGTCTTGGCTAGCCGAAGGTTCCGGTTGTTAATTCCTAAGAAAATTCACTTGCCTAGGCTTGGGCTACCTGGCGATATTCGGCCCACATGCAAATCGTGGAAGGTTTATCTTTTTTATAAAGATCATCGTACTATGATTTGTTAGGCAGTTTGGCCTCAGACGTATGTGAAATATAATATGATCTTATATAATAAGTTTGAGCGCATGAGCAAATTCTTATGCGTACAATTCTGACCTTGACACACAGGTGATAATTACCTTGGGCTTTTCACTAAAAACAAATCATCCCCCAGCTACTTTCTCACCTAGATGTTAGTATAATGGCTTGGAAACGAACTTATTGGAAACATCTTCGATTTTTGGCGAACCAAACACACTGCTGAACGCATTCGTGGAAACTAGTTTTAAGCCAACAATAAACTGTCCAATAGTGCAGCCACCTGAGGATAAATGCAATTTGATCGAAGATTTTACCTATCTCAATTTATCAATAACCGTATTTTTAAGCAAACTGTCTGGATCTTACTGTGCAAGTGAATCATCAAGAATTATTGTATCCGATTTCTTTTTTCAGATCAACTTATTATCAGTTAGTCTGAGTGCCGCAAAGATTAAGATGAATGTGAAGCGATGAACTCACTCGAAATTATCTCTGTCAGAGCAACACACAACTACCGGATCAATCCAAACTCTTTGGCTTNCCGGATTCGGGTCGATTTCCGGAGTACATGGTTGAGTTAATTGAGGCTTTTATTGATTTACAACGATGGGTAAATCTAAAACAAACGACGAGTTACGATTTCGCCTCTGTCAAAGCTCGGCAGCCTTTCTGAAAAAAAAACGGGTACTATAAACCACTCGACCGTTGGGGGAATAGGTGGGGTCGGAAAAAGCTGACAGATCGTTTAGGTGTATTCAGCTTGTGAGTATAGAAAAGAGCGAATATTTCAACGTACATGTGCGCCCGTAGAACAATTCACGATGACAAGAGCAAAATTAAATCGGTTGATAGCCTCTATTGCACTGACGTGCCTGCGCATGAGGATAAACTATAATCGCAGTTGGTAAGCGGGGGTGTAAGGTCGATAGGTTCCGTCGGATAACGCCATGCAACATATGACCCAAAAGAATGAAAGAAATTCTGAGTCCAGTTTCACTTATTGACGCAATGGTTCGCCGTGGGTCATCAACGTTTCACTCGCCATTGAAAACCTCAGAACCGTCTTTGAGCGGCTTTGTCCCTCTTATGACTTACTACCTGCGTGTCCATAGCACACGATTGGGTTCCGGATCCAAGATGAACGACTGCGAGTCAGTGTAATTCGGCCGCCTGAATTGTACAAGTATTCAGGATGCACAAGCGGACTAAGCGATGCCGGTGTAAAGACTTCCAAATATGGTACATGACTGATGTAACAATACGGTAGCTTCGTTTGTTTGTCTTTTCGTTTTTTTTTAACTTGATGCCAAAGCCGAGTGAGTACCACACCGCAATGGAATGGGGTAACATTCAGGATTGTAGTGTGATAGATAGGTTGGCAAAAATTCACCAAGGGACTTAATTCCGGGATAAATGAACGCTTCGAACTAAGAATGGTCCAAATGCCCGGTACGTTGTTCTAATATTAGGATGACTTTGTTATAAAGGAATTCTAATTTTCCGGTACATCAAAACTGAATTTTCTTGATTCGACCAGCTATTCGCAATGAAAAGACTGGAACAGTTAACGAGTTTGTAGCTTTTATTTTTCCGGATCACTTGTTCACAAATATTCTGTATAATTTAAAATCACACTGCTTGCCAACAGAATATCATGCAGTTCCTATAATTTACCCGTTTTTCCGGTTTCGGAAGCAACACCACGATAAACGCAATACAATCAGAGCATCAACAGATTCTTTATTGCAGCAGCAATACACAGCTGGGGTGACAGCAAGCAGGGAATGATGCAGTCGGTGATGAATCAGAAATGGCCTGGAACCGGTTTGAAGTTGGTTTCAAACGAAGACGAATGAATGAAAATTCAAGAAAGTGACACACTAAATCCGAAGAGCTGTGAATCATGCGAGTACAGAGCAGTCTGTCCGATTAAACGATAAGGGACTAAAGTAGAAGTAAATTCATACCGGGATGTTAGCATTCAGTTTAGGAGAGCAGGGAGGGGAGCTGTGTAACAACCGCCAGACAATTTGGCAGTGATTAATTGAAAAAAATTAGGGGTAGTGGAATAGGTCAACGAACAGTCCGATAGTAAGCAATCACAGACAATAAGGAAGCACGTATGTATGCAAAAGGCCAGTTGCGATTAACCGAAGGCTGATAAGGATGCAAACAGGGAATCAAAGTTGACCAGTCACGTGTGCGCACAGTCGATGATTCAGCGTCGTGCAGAGAGTAACTAACCAGAAGAAATAATGAGACGTGGTTATGTGAGGAGGATGAAACTGATCGTCTTCGCGTCCGGGACTTAACAGAATAAGGTATCCAACATGGCCATCACTTCGTAGGTCGACGACTATCGAAAATGACTGAACATGTACGCAGAGTGATCAAGATTTATGAACATCATTGTCAAATAACAACCATAACTTCCAGTGAAATCTCTTCGAACACTCGTTGTGTGCGGCGAATGCAGCTTTTCCGGATTCTGACACATCGGTTTGAACAAAAGCTTTCAGCAGACGTTTCTATTCTAGCGGTGTAAACATTCAAAGTATATATATTTCGCCCATTCACGCCCTGGTACCCGATGCGGAGACCAACATCTATCCACCGTTCTTCAACCTCAAACTTATACGGGACTGGGATGACAGCATTCAGCGAACCCAAGAGCAGCAATAAACCATCAATATTCACCGTTCGATAGCTTCCAGATTATGATGCATAAACCCCATTTATTAGGACCAGATACGTTAGGTCTCCGAAAACGCTGTGATAGGGAATTCGAGGCAAACATTACTACAAATTGGCTGTCCAAAGAGATTTGATAAAAGCTACGGCAAATAATCTGATAAGAGTAACGCAGCCCGTAAAACCTGCCTGCCGTAGAGCTAGCATCACCAGCCAAAAGTTGACAGCAAACCGTACATGTCAAACTGATTGTCATAGACTGAATATCTTCAGGTGAAGAACGTATCGGGAGAGATGTAGATCTGGTTGGGAAGCCAGTTCTGTCACATCAATCCGACTGCAGCTGTGCTGGGACCGAATAAACAGCCAGCTATCACTGCGGTAGATCGAACACATTCCAAAGTGGCTGACAAAATCAATCAGACACATCGCAACCCATGATCAGGGAAACCCGGAACCATTTGCTACGAAACACATCACGACCCGTTCGCCATGTTTCGTATTTTACAACATTGTCACGTAAAAGGAATGCGGAAATTTCGACAATCAGTTCAGAGTTACTCAAAATTTATGCACACAAAAGCTGTTTATTTAACACTCATTTTTTCGAAGTTTGTGTCCAGATCCTCCTCATAAGATTAATCAATCAGCCACATGTAGTCATGAGCCAACTTGTTTTTCTTTGTCGACGGAGATAATACAAGAAATACCAACGTCATTCATACGCTCTCGGCTCCAATGCTAATCCAAGCCTAGACAAGGTGGGATTTTCGGCTCATCATCGTACAGTGAAGCAAACTTCTCTGATCGCTGCCAACAGAGAAGTCGATTGATTTCTGGTGGATTCCAAATAGCACTAGCAAGTAGGGAGTTCGCACAAATCCAGTCCACTAGATTATCACTGCTTCAAACAGGGGGCGAGGCCCAGTGTGAACATGCACCACTGATCCCCCAACGAAGCTGTACAGTGAGTTCATGGATTTTGTTTTTGTGATCCGATACGCATTACACGATTATTCATATTTTACGAATAATCAAATAGAGCAACGTACAGTAATGTGTTCGATCACACACCTAATCATCATATTTATTGTTCACCCACAGAGAAGCTCAAGCGATGATATAAAAAGGGGGACAGCTCCTTATTTTCGGTCACGGATCAAGATAAGCAAGTTGGTTTGTCAGCTAACGTTCGGTCAACCAATTGAGTGTGAAGCTCAAAATGATGGTGGACATCCGTATAGACGAAATGCAACTAATGCATTAATGGAGCGCGTCAGCTTTATAGAGTTTGGTCGATATATAACCATTGTCTTCCGACTTCACTGAGCAGATCGATCAGCTAACAGTGAAGAAATTACAGAGCAGCGGTAGAGAACACTGTCACTGTAATCAGGCCCAGGATAATTTCAGTAGTGTAAACTGCTCCATGCAAATAGCTCTACCACTGTGAGAGCGAACCCAGGTAGTCCGAACACGCGTCGTTTTCCACAGCCCAAAACAGAATAACAGTTGCGCTTGAACAACACAATGCATCTTTGACCATGTAACGGGACGGGGCTGGGTGCAAAACCCGGAAACAGGAGGATGAATGAATAAATGGACGATGGAATGAAATGGAGTAGAAAAAATACTGCTCAACGATGAACATTTACAATATCTCTGTCAACATCGTCCATCAAGCCTTTGAGAAAATCCCACTGTTCGACGTTCAACGAGATACCTGTGAAAACGAAGAAAAAACGAAGAGAAATATTACTTTTCTGAATGTAACAAAATTTCGCAACTGAATGGATGATGAAACTGACCAAGGACAAGAATCAATTTCAATCAAATACTTCCAGAAGCATTTTGCAATCAACATCCACCAACTCGGTTACATCGGACAGACTTGGTGCTGGAAAGAGTCAATTTGGATACTCGTGTTCCAACACGTATACCAACTAGTGGCTTAACAGTTACAGTTGTCTACTCTAAACCAGTTCCTTTTTTATAACGCACTAATGTGGGATGAAAAACAAAGGGGTTTGGTTCATAGTCACGAGGACTTATTGTCCACTCATGGGAGCAGGCAACCTAAGCCCTAGGACGGAGCGGCAAACCACTTAAGGCCCCACGTGCTCACATTTAGCACTGTTGAGTTAGACACTTTAAATGGGAGTAAAATAATCGTGTCTGATAGCACAGTTTTTATCTAACGATTTTTTCTATTGGTGAGCCCCACGGCGCGGCTTCGAGGTGAAATCTTCCAGAATATTAATGTGACGAACAGTCGGAGATGCAACCGGAAGCTCTATACTAAATTCTGCGACCTTTCGTATGTGCGAGATTGAACTAGTGACTACGGCAAGTGAAGTCACTGTGTCTGGAAGTGTATAGATTGAACACGTACTGCGCATGCCCTCCGAAAGCCTCAGTATGGTTCGAGTGGACGTCTTGGGTTGTAGTCGGTCACCCTTCCCTTGCATGCAGCGAAATGCTACTATACGAACGAGTGTCTCAAATAAATTCTGCTGGGGAAGCTTTACTCGTCGCCTTCTGGGGCGGTAATTTCCCACCAAAGTGAGAGGACAAAAAGCCGACATCCAGGGCAATAATCGGGTCGGTGAACCACTGGTAGTTCACCTAGAGTTGGCTAAAAAACCGATTATAAACCAAGAACAGGCGTACACACCACACAACCACAGCTTCTCTGTTGTAGCAGTGACCACCCGCTTAGTTGGGCAGAGAGGTTTACTGTAAGAAAATTCATCTGCCTTAGCCTGGGCTCACATGTAAATCGTGGAACGTTTTTCTTCTTATAAAGATTATTGTACCGTGATATGGTACCCAGTCTGGACTCAGATGTGTGTGAAATTTTTTTATTACACACAATTGTGTGGTAGACAGCAGACGGGGCGAACACCATAGTCACGAAGACCTGCTGCTCCGTCATGCAACCCGGTAATCTAAGCCTCGGGACTTGGAGTGGCGAACCACGTAAGACCCCGACAGGTTAGGTGTGATATTAGACCTGATGACAGCAAAGCTATTTACCACCAAAGTCGGGCAGCGGTCGCGGGGCTTGAACCTCAGACCACAGGCTCCAAAGCACGCTAATGACAGCGAATAAACCACTAAAACACTGCCATAGGCCCTCCATGGGATATGCGTGGTATAGAACAGGGTCACAGTGCGAAGAATTTGAGTATCAATCAGTTAACCACTCCTGTAGTAAGCAACATACAGTTACACTAACCATATCGAATATCGTGCAGGATATTATTGGCTGAAAAAGATCTTGTTACCCCCGTGTTAACTACATAATTTCTTTAGTTGGCCCCGAGCGTACATCGACACATAGGAATACAAGTGCAAATTACCTACATTGTTTCTAGTTCGGACCGTCGCAATGTATATGAGTAGAACGAGACACGCTTCACTAATGCCAACCCTATTAAGTGATCATGAAAAAAGCCAAGGTAAACCCTGGGGTGCAGCAGACGCACTGCGATCCTTTGGATTTGGAGAGATCAGGTGTGTGGTGACAGGAAAGCAAGAAGCCCAGAGAGAGGCGGAATTATTTGACCGAAACAGAAGCGAGGATACTATGAGAAAAAGTCGTATTAGGCACCTTATTTGCAGAAGCTCAACAAGTTTTATAGCGCAAAGTGCGCGGTGGGCGAGAATATAATAGACAGTGAACCGAGTCATCTGTTTATAGTTTTATTTTCTAGGTTGTGCTTCTAGGAACGGGCTATGTTATGGAGTGTACCGCTGGCCAATAGACGAGTCCTTATTTTACAAGCAAACAGCAGGATGTAAATAAGTGTAACATACCTTTTTTTCCTGGCTTCAGATCGCCGCTTGATTTATCTTCGTAATATTCACGTATATCCACGAAAACACGACCTTTAAACTGCCGGACGCAAACAAATTTTTTTCCGGTAAGATCGAGCATTTTATCTCCGTCTGAATTTGTGGTATATTTGACTTTACTGTCGGTCGAAGTAGAGCTCTTCTTGACGTCAGATTTTTTCTTGGACGGTGGTGGCGACTAGATTAGAGATATGATATGAGGTAGTCAAAACTTACATCCAGATCAGAAAGAGAATCGTCGGACTCACTGGAGTTGTTTAACTTATGCTTTTTGGCTGACATGGCTATCAAGAGAATGGGAGGCATTATCATGAATGACCGGGATATTTTCAATTCAGGCAGTTTAAAGACAAGTATTACAACAGACATTCTGCTACACTTCTAGTTCTCATCGACCTGGCAGTATCTGGCTCAAATGCAAATCACGAAGCGTTTTTTAATGAACA